ATTATTGCACTCATCACTTTACAAGGTGTGTTTTGCGCCTGAATTTCAGAAAATTTTACTCATGTCCCTTCAGTGATCTGTTTTATTTTACGAGCAAGGTCAGGAGGGCGCCCCCTATTCCTAGGACGCAAAGGGTCCCAGCAGGGTTCGGTGACTAGGAAAAGCATTGGGAGAATTCATTTCGCTGTCATCTCTTTTCGCACCCATCTCTTCTGGGGACAGAGTGAACATGTGAGATTTCTTGAAACCCTAATTGCCTGATTAGGATGCTGAGAAACAATAAAAAGATTGACGGTCCCTAGACGGCCGTTCTTTTTTATTGTTCTTCAGCACGTTGATGAAACCTGAAGTTAGTGTACGGGCAGGAAGCGTGCGCCTACGTACTTACAATATATTTTTAGAACAGTGCCCTTTTTTTTCTTGTTGTGTTTTATATAAAATTGAACAAGAAATACGCTTCTATATTTTCAAATTTATATCTGGTCGAGTTCGTATAGTAATTTTCATTTTTTGAAAAAGTAATTTACACAGGAATATGATACACATTTCGAAGTATTAAATGAAACAAACCAGAAGTTTTTATATTTAGTACATTCGGAGTATCAATCAATCATATTTTGCGAAGTCTGGGTGAATTCCAAAATATAATACAGAAATAACTGCACAAATGATCAATTTTCAGGTAAATAAAAAGCGCGTCTCTTTTTTTAATGTCCAGATTTATTAAAAAATATTACACGTTGAAAAAAGGGCCTGTCAATTCTTGTGCGATTTGACGTGGAATAGCTCCTGGGCAAACTTTTTGCACAGTTTCAACTATTTTAGATTTCCTAAAAGTTATAAAGAATACGAGAAAGTATGTGCTGTTATAGCTTCATTAGTTTTCAGATCTTGATTTTCTATGAAAAAAAATATGTCTTCGAGAAAATCATAGCGTCATGTTAAGTCGATATTTTGACAGAAAACAGGTGTGTGGGTCCATGATTAAGTTTGTCTTTCTTCCAAAAGTCTGACCGTCCGTCTGTGAACAAACCTTGCGCGTAAACGTACACAGGTTTCCTACCATAAAAAAAGAATGCGCGGATACATCAAAACACGCTTAGAACAATGGTACAAGTCCGATTTTTATTAGAACATCTTTCCATTCAAATTTCGAAAATTCCGGAAGTTAAAAATAACTATCTCTTACAACTATATTATAGAAGATGCGATCTTGTATTACTAAAGTTGGATATTAAAGTAGTTATGCATAGTTTTCTGAAAATATGAAGTTTCGTGTAATTTTAAGTGAAACCGTGAGAATTATAGAAGTAGTGGTGCTAAAACAGTGTTCATGTTAAAACTCATGTTAAAGTATTATCTGCAATGAGTACGTACATATAATATTATACTCGTACAATTAGATATTGTAGCCTACTAATTCAGCCATCTCGTGTAACGTTTTTTCAGCAAAGGAAGTGTGGGAGATTAGAATTTTGCAATTTTAGCGGTAATCCGAATCGAATTTTCGGTATCAAATTTTCGATCGTACCATAGGGCAGTTGAGATAAAAAATAAAACTAGTGGTACTACAACAAGAAGTAGTTTCTCGTAAAATTCATAATGGTTACTTAATACTTTAATACTACTTGAACATAAATTTGTGAATATTTTGAAAAATTAAAACGTTACGTCGAAATAACGTTTGTCACGTTAATCATTGCATTTTGCATTATCCATTCAAACAGCTTAAAGAAAAAAATTGGAGCAGTAATTGAAGAAAAACATTATTTTAATTTTTGTAATTTAAGGTTGCATCAAAATTTAGGTCATTAGCGACCACTACTTGATTACGTTATTGTTACTGTGAAGATAACATATGGTGATAGGGGGTGAACACAAATGCAACCTTGCCTGAGGTGGAACTCGAACTCACGATCCTTCGGTTCGAAATCGCTACGATACTACTGCCTTAAAAATCTCGGCTATCCGGATCGGCAATTTTAAAATTTTATTTCACGCTAAAACTCCTATTTAAAAAAAATACAAGACCTTATTTAAACATCTAATTGTGAACATATTACAGCAAGAAAAAATCTTCAGTATTGTAGTAATACACTGAAAAAAACGAAACTTTTGCAATTTTCCTGAATTCGATGAAAATCGTACCTCCGCCATTTTTAACTGTGGATCTGGGACGTTTATGTAAGCTTTTAGCTCTGAAAGTATACATACAAAGGTTCCCCCTCCCCTAAATGTTGAAATTTGCACAAAAATTGTTAAAATACGCAGAGTTTGTTCACAAAAACTTATTTTACAATGATTTTTTGCCAGGGATAGGGAATAAAATTAAAATCAGATTAGATATAGAATTAAAAACGTGTTGCGCCCATGTTACGTAAACTACTATTTATACACGACGTGCGCGTAAGACTGTTTCTCATGCTTGTTTTCCGTGTGCGAAACATCTATTTTTTAGTGTGCATCTGTCACGATTTGCAATTGTCTTTAGTCTTGACGTTTTTGTTTATTATTTGCGAGCAATTGCGTTACGACCCTGGAATCCATTTACTTTTGTACAAGTAAGGTATTTGTAGTTATTTGATATTTAATTTATATTCCTTTACTTGACGCATTGCGTTTCGCTCTCGGTGTGTTAAAAAAAAACATTTTCTGCCGAAAAATCGCAGTATTTTTTGCTACAGCGTTACATAACTTTCTCTATGCTACGTAAGTTGGTATGTGAGAGAGTGCACACATTCTTACAACTATATTAAAGATAGTTTTATTAATGCGATCTATTCCTCTATTTTAATTTTTTAAATTATTTTATGTACCCTTTTTTTTTTCAAAATTTGTTGACTTGTGTTCGAATCCTGTCCCGCGCAATCTTTTTTCGCTTTTAGATCTTGTAAGTACACCGACTTCAGATACAGAAGTGCCAATTTCATTAAAGACTGCGTTTTCAAAATCAATTTTCAATTGAAGGTACGGTTATTTTTCGAATTTCTTAGGCGTAGTTTCCTTTGTAGCTTTTGAAAAGAAGAGTGAAATGTTAGGATATATTGCAATATTATAATTCTACGTAAGTTACAAATTAGACGAAAAAGTGTGTGATGTAGCACCTTTTTTAATTAATTATTTTTTAATAAGAAAAGAGGTAACATCAACTCTTCACGCCCCACTTATAGAGGGCGATTTTGCGCATTTGTCCGTAGAAAGGAAAAAAAAAACGTGTCTTCATGTCTTTCAGCATATCTTAAATTCAGCAAAATCTGAGAGGACACGTCAGAATATTTCCTTAAGTGTGGCTATTTCAAATTACAATTCTGTTAGCTGTGTTCGTGACACTTGACGTAAATCATCTACTGCGGTTACATCCAAACGGACGCTACAATGACGTCACTATGGGGACGTCCGGGCTCCTGGTTGGATGAAACCGTGAACAGCTGATTTACGTCAAGTGCACGGTTAAATAAATCCTTTTATAAGGTATTGTATTGGCCTACGCAGCCCAACGTTGCCTGGGTGTTGATCATGAGATAATACGAGTGCTTTGGAAATTGTCTATAAATTCCCGACTCGCGAAACTAGGAGGGGATGTGTCTGAGAATTTCCAAAGCACGTGTTTGGTATTTAATAGGACTATTTTACGAGTGAAATTGTCCAACAGAAATCCAAAATGTGTCATATTGAAAATAACAAAACGTGTGTTAAAATTAGAAGTTATGTTATTAATACGCTGTTTATTGGACTTCGACATAGCGATCGATGTATAACGCCTCCTAAGATACAACAGTCACAGTTTATGATTGGCCAGTAGGTAGAAGAAAAATCTAATAGAAAAAGCAATAAACTTTTTGAGATACACCGCCCTCGTTAGGGCATTTGGTATGTATAGTTCAACACTATTGGTTTTAATTTCATGAATGAAAAAGACACAATCAACCATTAGCAGAAGGAATGAATTCTATCTACTCTGATGAGCCAAAACATTATGAACTGATTAAAAGCGCGCTGGTCCACCTTTGGAACGCAATGGAGCAGGGTTTCGGCGTGGCATGGATTCAACTTCTTGGTAGGTTTACAAAAGTATCTGACACCAGAGCCCACGCACGGGCTACGTAATTCCCTTAAATTACGGACCGCTTCGTAGGCGTGGATCTGGCGCCAGATAGCTTCCCAAATGTGTTAAGAGTGGTCGGGATCAATTTCGTGGCCAAGACATCAACGTGAATTCATAATCGTGCTCCTCAAGCCACTATAAATTTTGGCCTGGTGACTTGGACAGTCCTGCTGGAAGACGCAATCGCCGTCGGGGAAGGCCAAAAGCATAAAAGGATGCAGGTGGTCTCCTGGACAATCATCTCCCTGATTCACGAAGTAAAGTGATTCATCCGATCAGGCCATTTCCATTGATCCACGGTCCAAACGCGATGATGCGATTCCGCGTCATGTGCACACACATCCCCAAGACGCGTTCATTCTTATGTTTTGGATGTGCTGGTGGTGTATAGCATAACATGGAAGGATGTTGTTACATATCCTCCCTATCCCATCTTCTCTTGTGAGATCACCGGCGGGTGTAAACCGACCCCAGCTTTCCCAATCCACATTCGTATTCTGGGGTAAATAGTTCTATTTTATTAATAGAATTCAATGTACTGAACTAGAGAGGAAGGGAACTGAAATGCATCTGGTTGCAAGATGTACTATATTCGTGTTTTGTATACCTCCAAGTTCTTTCAACCACAAGAATATGGAATTTTGAGGTGAAAGAATAATGTGTAACTATTCCAAGTTATGATGTATCAGAATACACAATTTCATTAAAATCAGATTATTTATTAAAAAGATGTTGCAGGACATTCATGATTTTTTTATAATTACCAGAAAGTCACATATAAGTATTCTGCTTCAAAATTTCTGAAATTTTTGCTTGATAATCTTCATGACCTGATGAGGGTGATGATGGAAATAACTGATATTTCATTTATGTGAATTAATATATTTATTTTCAGGCCCAAGAAACCCTAAGTCATGAACGGTTGAATTCATCTCCATGCTGGTCTTCTAGAGATGAAAAACGATCATCTTTGTGCTCTTCATCTCACTTTGATGATAGCCATGAGAGTGGTCCCAGCCACAGCAAGCGACGGCACCGCACCAGTCCTCATAGGTGAGCAGCTTGCATATTATTCAAGAATAAAATGTCTTTCAGAGAAAGAATGCACATTTGGCACCAGGAACTTGGCTACAACTGCACTAGTCCTTCTCATAGACCCGAAGACTACAAGAAAGACAGTGCAGTCTTCCTGATTCAGCTTCAATTCTTGATCATTTCTGCTGAACTGCTACATGCCATTAACAAATGCCTGAAGCAAATCAGGCAGGCACTATTGGCCTTTCAGTGATCTCTTGCCTGTCTATCTCTAATATAGTTAAATTACATATATTTACCCACTGGCGTAAATTCTGCAATTCTGCATTTTATTGAAATATTATGGTAGTATTAAGCTTTTTCATTGGTATAAAAGCAAGAGTACACATCATATGCACATTAGTTTAAGGCGATCATTTAGTCAATATAGTTGCTGTATTCTGTACTCAGCACATGCCAAAACATATTTTGCCTTGATTCAAAAAAGCAAGATTGAATTTGTTAATCTAAATTATTATTAGCATATATAATAATTGAATGGTTGACATGAAAAATTGTAAGTACCAAAAATTGAGAATTTGCGATTTAAAAATTGTTTATTTATGAATATTGTACATTCGTGTTTTTTATAATATTGAAATAATTTTAGTGTGATGTATAAATTTTCTGGTTAAAATCATTGTAAATAAACTGTAGCATCGTCTTCTTCTTGAATGGAATGAGTTCTCCATTCTTGAATCCTCGTGGACTTCTAGATTCTTCATTGTCACTCAATTATCTTTTAGTTTTAATTGGGAACAAATCTGCTAGAGCAACATTGATGCTCTGTTTAAAACACATTGGTTGCAAGGGCACATCGAATTTCTGCATTGTGCAGATAAAGTCAAATTTCTGACTATCTTGAAATAAATTTATCCATTTCAATAATCATGCCATCTAACAACATTTTCAATGTCTTTGACTTCTGTTCTCCATTTTTGTTTACTTCTCTAGCACTCCAAAATACCTTCTGCAGTGCAGAGATGCCTGGAGAAAATTAAAGTCGATAGCATCACAATATCCCTTAAACACAAAGAGCATTTGAGCATTCAAAACCAATCTGTTCTTGTTTGTTTCAGTATAGTTGTCACAACATATCTCTAACATTCTTCTAGTTGTGAACTGAGAAGATGATACCTTAAGAAGGCATAATGTGAATTTATTGCCCCGTGGCAAACTTGACTTTTGTGCCAAATATAATATATCTTGTTGAAGTGCTACTCGTATAAATGCATAGATTGTAGTTTGCAACAAGTGCATATAGAATTTATTAGTGTCAAACTAGGCTTAAACGAAACTTGTTGTTTATCTGTAGGCACTGGATCTACGGAAGCAAAGATGCTCTAACTCTTTCTCTGATATCTTTAGCAATGAATGTAAATTCTTCATCATATTTGCATACTTCTAGTTCTGCAGTGTTTCTGTCACAGTAGGAACAGATATTTGTCCTCGCAAATTTTGAAATTCCTTGTAGAAACCTTTGGTAAAATCAGCTGTTAAACCTTATCAAGAGGGCTTATAAGCTTTAGTTTTTGACTTATTCTTCTTTATAACTAGACGGGATTTCCACACAAATGCATGTTTTTATTTACACTTCGTAGAGCTTTCAAACTTAGTAAATATGTTTTCTACCTCATACTTCTTTTAAAAATGCATACTTTTACTGCAATGTTTGCATGTTTTGGTAGTTTTCAGAAAATATTCATGCATAATCCATGTTCGAACTTTTTTCCTTCTTCCTCTTTTTCTTCTTCAATTAATACTGCATATTTTGACATCTATATAGCATACTATGCACATTTTTAAAGCTATTTTTGCATAATTTGTGTAACCTAAAATTTAAATATATTTTGTATAAATAATTTATTATTCTTATATCCTGACAGTATGGAGTTCCTTTGTCCTTGGGTATGGAGTCCTTATTGTTATACTGGAAATTTGAACCTTTCGGTACTCATGCTATGATTAGCGAAGCGGGTACAAGCACTGTAAACCACAATTGTGAACTGAATCAATACCAAGCCTTAAAGTAACAAAAGATATTGTAGATACAGGAAGTCGTAACTCAATATCATTTGATAACTGTCAATGGGGGAAAATAATCAAGAGTCAGTCCGCTTGCATGCAAAATATTAAGTAAGGCTAGAAAACCATGGCTGTAGTAAATAAGACAATTTATGAAGTCAACTTTTGTAAAATTGCCTTTATCATTCAGAACTCAGAAGCAGCAGATTCACCTCTGGTGGAATAATTAAAGGTCTTCGAAATTAGTGTTTGGATTTGTGAGTGTCACTGCTAATTTATATGTGTTAAATTTAAATGTGATTTGAAATTTCTCCAAAATGTAAAAAATATTATTTGTGGTGAAAAATAAGAAAGTGCAGAATTTGACCTCACGTTGGGTCAAATTTCATTTTGTGTTGTAGAAAGTATTTTCTGCATTTTTAAATGTTTGTTTCTTACAAAACAACAAAATTTGACAAAGTAATAGTGAGAAAATGTATTGGTACAAATGGCAGTAATAAGGAAATACACTAAACTCAAATTTGATTGTGTAGGTTTCGAAAATGTTTGTTTCACATTGCGCATGTTTGGTTATTTGATAATGCATGTTTGCATGCATATTTTAGCATTTGGTAGTGCATATAAATCCTGTCTCTATGTAGTTACCATCTAAAATATGTAGCTTCCAATCACAAGCACTACTAATATTGGGCGTAATCAGGCATAAGCCTGTGCAACAGGTGAAATGGAACATTTTTATTATTTGTTAAATATTTACAAAGTTACAAATATTAATTTGTTTCTAGTGTGGTTGTTAGGCTACAACAGATTTGTTTTCATTAACCCCTGAGATTGTAGCAAAAGAAGTGTGGGGAATTAGTGATTAATAAATGCCTAAGTTTCACACAAATACTTAGTTTCGAGAAATTGATCATGACCTTAATTGAATCTGTTTTTATTATTTATTATTATTCATCTATTTCATTAAGCAAAAAATATTCTATTCTCATTATTGTAGTTGTAAGAAGACACTGATTTTTTTTTTTTCCTTTGAAGTTTTTTCAATTTTTGAAAATTCAGGGAGTGCAATGAAAATGCGTCTTACACCATTGCTTCGTGTGTCTTCTGCTCTGTCAGAGGGAGAAAATTTGGAGCCATTTTTGAGAAAATTCATCAAATATTGAGGTTCTATGCAAAGTGACCCCCAAAATCAAAATATCCATTTCAAATTTAAGAGGCCGTGTTTGGGGAATATCAATTATGGTGAAAATCCTATTTATGGTTAGCAGCTAGTGTTGTTCAGGCAGATGTTTTGTTATCAGTCAATTTTTTGGTATCAAGGTCTCAGCAACTTGGATTCTGACTTCACAATGTGTTAGAGGAAGTAATTTACTGAATAAAGGAACAAAATTTAGTAACTTTTTCTTCATCAGGATCTAGCATAGATCATCTGTCGAAAATTCGTACCCCCCCCCTCCCCCCGCACCATTACAATACATTAGTAGAAATAGTAAATAGTACATATAGAAAGTAAAAACAATCTGAGTGAAACAAATTAGAGATACACATTTCCAAAATTAATGAATTAACACTCTTAAGAAATAGACATTCTCTCCTTAAAACCAATACTTTTCAAATAAGTCAATTAGTCGTGGATAATTCAATCATAAATCAAGAATGAAAAGTGGAAAATGATTGGATTGGCTGAATAGGTTGACATACTACGCATATCAAGGAACACTACCTCAATTTCACCATGGTAACAATACTGTATTGCTGTAGAATAGTAAAACTTGCTCAATGCAGAACATGTATATTGTGGAATCTGTTTAATACGGACAGAAACTGCAGTACTGGGAACATAGTGCTTTATTTTAATAATGCAGAAAAGGTACTGGTCCCTTGATACTCCACATTGAGCAAGTTTTACTGTAATAAAAAAAGGTTCTACAAATTTATTTAACATAATTTCAAATACTTACATTATTGCAGTTGGGAGTTGCATTTCATCTGCAGATTCTATTGGACAGCACCACTTTTGTTTTTGTTTTTCTCATAATGCAGCTGTTTCACACCATACATTTGTATTAAAAGCAGACTTTTGAAATCTTCAGTGTGTAATGCTCTTTAAATATGGTTCAATTCAAGATGTCTGCAATTCATACAAAATTAGTTTTTAATTAAACTGGATTGTCCGTCTTTGATTTCAAAATAACTACGTTTTTTCTTATGTTGCGTCCAAATTTAAATAATATTTTAAAATGTATTTTTATTTTGTCTATCTGTCTGATGAAATCTGAATAGTGTAACTGAATTTGATGTGGTTTTCACTGAAAGGTAGGCTTTTTTGTTAAGCATAACTTAGTCTTTATTATTATTATTATTATTATTATTATTATTATTATTATTATTATTATTATTATTATTATATTGTTATTGTTATTATTATTATTATTATTATTATTATTATTATTATTATTATTATTACCATCATCAATATCATTATCTCTTATACAGAGAAAAGGTTCATTAATTAAAAAAATATATATATTTATGCATTTTTCTTTTTCCATCCCAATCTTATTTTACTCTGATTTTAATGAAATTGGGTACATGTGACTTTCATGACAAGGAAAAAGTTACTATCAGTATGTGATTTTGTAAAAATTACCCCACAACCCACTTTTCTACCATTTAGACATAAATTTGAGGTGCAACCTTGTAGTTTTTGATAAATATTGAAAAGAGATTTCATACTAAATGCTTTTTAATTCATTCCAATAGTGAAATTTTGCTTTTAGTAATTGCAGGTTAAAATTGTTACTGGAAGTTTGCAGGGGGAATGAAACTATGCATCTGATTACTGCTGCTTGTAGCAATGGTAATTGTAACAAGCATGGCAGAGAGAGGCGGGGCATGACAGTGGGAAAGAGGTGTGTGGCGCTAGGTAGGTTAGGCTAGGAAGGAGACATTATAGGTAAAATTCATTCCTATTCCTGTCTAGTAGACAAATGTGAGCATGGTGAATGCCATACTCAGACAAAGCAGGGCACTTCAGGTTGTGTAAATAGATGTGGCTCAAAGGTATCAAAAAATAAATACTTATCAACATTGCAAAACTTTAAAACAAAAGCTTGGATCAAATGAAATCTAAATAAAAGTCTAAAAATACTTTAACTTATACAATTTACTTATCACTTACTGTATTATTACCATGATTTTCCAAACTTCTCCAGAACATTATATTTGTTGCAATATTTTTATAACCATTTATTGCATGTACACAATTCCTTAGCTTTATTTTGCTTGCAGATGCAAATTGTTCTAGTTTTGTTGTTTTTAACAATGAAGTTTTGACATAGAAAAACTCAGACTTCAAATATCCGAATTTAGAATTACACTAATGCTCCATCAACTTGTTCCTGAAGTATAACAATTTTTTAAAAAAATTAATTACCTATTTTAATTGTGTTTTAACAAGACTTTTGACAAACACACCTTTGTTATTTTCATATTCATTGTGAATTCTCGTAAACGTACGCGTACACTCATTTGCAATACAATAAGCTTCCGTAACTGAAGAACAATTTATTGTTCTCAAGTTACTGTCACGAAGGACATAAACAGCGGAAGACGTAACAATGTGAAAGATGGCGGACAGAATTTGAACAATGAGAAAAAAATGGTGAACATAGGCCCAACGAAAGTATTATCGGCACACGTTCGGTTTCTTGTGGCATCGCTTCGCAAGTTGCTGGAGAAGTGGGAAGATTGGTTATTTTCTCAAAATAAATTTTGTATCAAATTTAGAGTGCAGGGAGCGAGCATTCTGATGTGAAGATCTGAGTGGTATTATGATTTTTTTCCCAACGCTTGTTGCTATAATTTATTTTTAATTCAACTAACGTTGGCAAAGGAGAGGGAGTAGGTTTACCTGTATATCTTGTAAACGCTGAGGATACGCGAAAATATTATATAGAATTGCGAGCAATTGTATTTTATAACAATCGATATTCGGATTTCAAACAAAGAAATGAGATACGCTGTGTAAAAATAAACCGGAAAACAATCCAAAAATAGTGTTGCTAAAACAGCGCGTACCTTCTCGCCCGTACTTTCACGCATAATTACGCGAAAAGTACTCAAATTTTAGAAAAATTTGCATGACCTAATTTCAAAATTTATATTTTAGGAACAGCTTTAAGGGGGAAAAACTGTATCTTCATAATTGTTTGAGGAAGACGCCAAATTTTTTTTAATTTTTGCAATTTTCGAAAAATCAGTTTTCAACGAAAATGAGACCTACACAGTAATGAAAGTAATTAGGGTGAAACGCACAAAACAAAAATTAATGAAACACGTACATTAACGAAAGCAACCACGATTGGAAGAACACGCTGTCCCGAAGGCAATGTTGCCGTAAATATTCAACCGCCACGCTCGCCCCCTTCTAATATGCCAAATCTGAGTTGCAAGTCGCTGAATGCCCTGCGAAAGGCCGGAAGAAGTGGAGAACTACGTTGGCGGTTTAATCCTGAGTTTGAAAACGCAAAGTTCAATTTCAACAATTAGTAAAATCTTTTTCATTTACATCAGATTTTCGATTGAACAAAAATGTTGAATGTTAACTTTTTTGGGAGTGTCAGATTTAATTTTTGGAGCACATAACGAACCTACGTTTGAATGTTACGTTGTTTCACAAATGTATAACATTTTCCGTTGATTCCATAACTATCTAAAGCGTTATGCACATAGTCTTCGGTAAGTTGAAGCGACAGGAATTATGGAAATTATCTGCAAGGCTGGCGATTGGTGTTAAGTCCGGGTGAGTAGTTGAACCGTGAGGGGGGAGGGTGTAGCCAGAATCCGTTTTATGGGTCCTTTATTAAGGAAAAGAATAGAATGATGGCAAAACGTCCATCCGTCCGTCAGTCAACAACGCTAGCGACTAAACCGTTCAGCCGATTTTGTCTAAAATTGATATTCCCCAATCGATCTGACTGATGTGGCAGCCCTTTGAATTTGAAATTGAAATTTATATTTTAATTATTTTGGGGGAGGATACTTAACGTGAAGCTCCTGATACATTTTCAAAATTTTCGAAAAAATTGGTTCACAGTTTTTGATTAAATTTTGTTGTTGGATAGTGTAAAGTACGTTTAAGAGAATTGTGCAGGTTCTCATGTTCGTTGAAAATCCCAATTTTTCAAAAATGTAATTGTTCCGTAATTTTGAGGCAAAATCAGGGGAGAAAGTACATGCTGTTTTAGCACCACTAATTATACTTTGTAGACAATGGCCTCGCAAGTGGGCAGCCCATTTGGTGTCCTAGTCTAGTGAAAGTGTGACATGGGCTGCCATGGGGAGTCTGGCTCCAATTCTTGCATTTGAGACCCCTATCAAATGTCTTACAACATAGCACTCCCTCCCTTCAAATATCCCATGTCCAACCTACTTTCAGAAGAGTACTATTGGGAAATTATACCATAGATTTCAATCGATTTTAATTGTTTAATGTTGCTTGTCGAATCCAGGTTTTGCATGTGAATTCTTTATGGTGAGCTGTTGATGCTGACCCCTGATGAATCTGATTACTATGTCAAGTGTTATAGTATTACACTCGACCCTTATACAAATCTGAATTTGTGTAATCGTGGGCTGCAAATAGCAGAACTGAAAAAAGCAGGTATTGAGATAAACGAGTTTGAAATTTTCATCTTGTATTGAAATGCATTGTTCTTGCACACTTCACACGTCTGTAATTTGTTGGAGAAATACTGTACTGTAATGTATTCTGCTGCTTCTGCTGGAAGGTAGACCAATCTGCATTTATGGAGTGTGAATTAACCCAAAAATTTGTATTTTTTGAGTTGGACCTCTACTGCAGCCTTCACGTGATGTTCCACCCTTGAGTAAAAGAATTTAACTAGAAACATTGAGTGGATTACAAGGAGGACAGGGATGGGATTTACTTATTATTTGTTTAATTAAAAAAAAAGTAATATTAAAGTCTGGGAGCTATAGTATATTTTCCGTAGAATATTGTGCCATATCTCAGGCAGAAATTAATACTTGCAACCAATTGGAAACAACTGTTATTGTACTATTTACTGTTTCTTTATCGCAAAGAATATTCATATCATCTGTAAAGAGGACGGTTGTTCCATTTCAAGACGTCATTTCCTTTCCCTCTGTTTCCTGGTAGTATATTGTACATCTCTCTCTCAGACAAACTGGAAAGCATGTGAGAGAGTGGTTTTATTTTGATTGGGTAGGAGAAAATATAATTCGTAATTATGACAGTGCATTAAACTATAACAACTCAAAGTAGACAGTTTTTGGTGTTCAAAGTTTTGAATAACATATGTACTATCAAAATTTCAAATTTGATGTAATATTTTGAAGTTTTTGCTTCAATATTTTTCCAAACTTTTGGCTACACATACTCCGTGAGAACAATTAAAGAAGAGAAGGCGGCGTGGGTAGTAGGGAGATTCCCAATCAATACCCTGTTCGATCGGTTTACCAATTTAAAAAAAAAAAAATTGTTGCGTCTATCTCGACGCAACGCGTCTCCTAAGTCCTTCACGAGCGTTGAGCGCTTTGTGGAGTAGTCCTTCGGTACACGCGCCCTGTAGGGGCAGCTGTATAGTCAAGTTACGTCAATCAAGTCATGCCACGACAGGTAGCGTCTTCACGCTCGCGTCTCGCACGCGCCCTGCGTCATCTACCCATCGGCCAGAATTGGGAAGGAATAAGGATAAGGGTAAGGTATAGGACGCTTCACAGGCATTGGACTAGCCCTTGTGAAGCACGCAAACTTGTTTTGTCGTAACAAATTTCACATGAGGTGCTACGGGGACTCCATGAGAATCGAACCTCAGTGGTGAAAGGCAAGCGACTCCACTTCTGATTCCATGAAAGACCGAAGTTTGGACCCCAGGACCCAGAGCAGAAGGCATATCCTCAGAAGATTCCTGAACGTGAATAGTGGACATTGGTTTTCTTCTGTTTATGAATGCAAAAGGAAAACCAATATTAAGCTTTAATAATACTTAACATTCTTACCTTACATAAATTCTATAGAGTCTATTATCCCTCTCATAATGTAATGTTTCAATATTATGAAGAAATTGTTTTAATAGTTATTGTTATTTGTTTTTGTTATTATTGGTATTTGTATTAACAGTCTTGTATTTCCTTCATTTTGTTTTCCTTCTACAATCCATATTTCCCTGTATTCATTACTTAATCTACTTCTCATTTTAACCTGTAAATTTTGTATTACAGAACCAATAGGTGTAAACATAGAGAGAGAAATTCTGCCTCTGCTTCACCCACATACTCTGCCAGTAGCAGTGTTGTCAACTCTTCTCCTGAAGCTGGTCCTTCTCGAGTTGGGGATGACCCAGACAATGCTAATGGTTACAACAGTGATGATGAATATGGACCAGTATCTGATCGTCTTTCAGAATCTGAATGGATTGAGGTATTTTTTTACACAAGATTCACAAATGTGCAATAAAAAAATAAGGAACGTTTTGAATTCAAAATAAATGTCTTAGAACTGGATTCTGAATAGGAAATAGTGCTATACCTTGTTATAATTCTTAATCTTAGTTGAACTACCAACATGTTGATAAGGTACAACATGAAGGGTCAAAAAGATTCCTTAGTTGTAGTTTTGTTTTGGGTTTCTTTACAATTCTTGCAATGGTAAAGAAACTATATTTCAGTTCATCTCTTTCTTATTTTTTTTTCTCTCTTACCTTCACTGCCCTCTTTGCCTTTCTCGTATTGTTTACTTGTCCTCTTTTATATATTTTTTTCTTTTCTTGTCCCCCTTCTTCCTCTTCTTTTGTCATCTCTTTTTCCTGTATTACTGTTTTTCTCCTTATCATAGATTTCTGCCACATTTAAAGACCTTTACTTCCTAATCTTGTCCCCTCTCATCTCTCTTGTCTTGTCCTCTTTTTTTTCTTGTTTCATCTTCCCATTTCACTCTTACCCACTACCTGCTTTCCTTTTCTTTCCCCTGTCTTCTTCTCCTTTCCATTTCCCCTCTTCTCTCCATTTCCTCTTTATCGCCTCTTTGTCCTCGCTCATCCTTTGCTTTTCCATTTTGCCTTTTCCCCCTCTTCTTTCTTGTCCCTTTTCTTACCTCCCCGTCTTCTCGCCGTTCCCCCTCCCCGTCTTCTCGCCGTTCCCCCTCCCCGTCTTCTCGCCGCTCCCCCTCCCCCGTCTTTTCCCCTTGCCTTTCTCTTTTTTTCTTCTCCCCTTTTTCTATTCTTGTTTCCTCTTCTCTTCTTTTTCCCCGTCTTCTGTCACATGTCAATGAAGAGGTACATCCCTATCTTCCAGGCTATAATATGCACAAACATACAGAATTAATAAACATTACAGTCAATCAATTCTCCTCTTATATAATTCTCTGGGTTTTCTCCTTTTCTCGTGTCATCTGCTTTTTCCTATTGTTCATTTCTTCCCTTTTGACTCTTTGCTGTTTTTGTCCTCTTCACTTTTTTCATGTACTTTCCTCTTTTTCGTATACTGTTTTTTTTCTTTATGCTTTTCTCTTGTCCCTGTTCTTAAAATTAAAGTGCCTTTAAAAAAATGAATACCATTATTTTAGCATTTTCTGTAGCATCTGTGTTCTGCATTATGTTCTCTGCACTACTATGCTTAACCCAAGCTCATTTTTTGGGGGGGACGTTGAACCTTGTTGCAAAAGCATTATTAAAGCTATTGACCTTTCATAGGTATTAACCTTTCTCTTTCAAACAAAAGTTGTGTATTAAATATTTCATTAGTTGTCAAAAAGTGAGTGTTAGTTTTAAATAATTTGAAAATAAACGTTTGGACAAATAGCATTGCCATTTTCAACATTTAATATCAAAATATGCACATGAGAAAATTAAATTACATAACAAGCAGTTTTACCATTTGTAAATTAAATGTGAAAATTGAAGATAAGAAATTAAAAATTGCATTATTAAAAATAAAATTAATAAAGAAAAGATGACCATATTTATCAATGCTTCTTACGTTTCTGCACGCAACCATTATTTTCCCCTGCACTGGCCTCTCTTTGTTGGAACAGACATATAAAGGGCTTTGCATTTTGATCATGCTAAAATATTAACATTTGTTAATAGGATTCATTGGACAATGTAGATGATAAAACGTGGGTTTCTTTCTAATTTATTTGGTGCTACATAATGATGTTGTATAGATTTTAAACTAACAAAGTACAATAATTTAATAAGTAGTTTGTAGCAAGGCGAGTCTGTCTTTAGCAGTCTTCCACTCCCAAACTGTCGAACCCTAGGAGTCAATATCGACAATTTTGAGAAAGCTGCTATCGAGTATTAGCTTGTTTCATATCTTCTCTTGACCTTCTCATTATCATACACCACATGTAGAATGAAGCCTTGTCAAAGCCTGAACAAATAATTTCTAATCCATCAGTTGCTTATGTCTCCTTTATTTAGATATTCTAATTCACCAGTGCCAAGCTCAGTCTTTGTTTCTTGGAAGTTGAAAATTCCTGACTTGAACTTTTGAGACTTCTTTCACCATAAATTGTCATTGAAAAGTGACTGGTAGTTAAGTCCATACATTTTCAAATACAGGATTTCCTTTGATGTCAGTGGCCTTCAGAGTGTCTGCAAACATATCTGAGACTCTGCTGTGCATTTTTCATTGTCTGTATAGGGCAAAAAATTATATTGAAATGGTTATAGAATGAGTGGACAATGGATTAATGGGATTTTTCCAAACATTTAGTGATTGTTATGTCATGTTGACTGTGAAAGAGTGAGAACCAGGGGGCAAATGATGATAATATTTAACTTGTGTAAAGTCTTTAAAAATTATGTCTGATTAATATTTCTGAAATTTTTGATTTTTCCTTATGTTTTTCCTTTTCTTCCAAGAAACTCTTAAACATTCAATTGAAGTTTCTTCAACTCTGTGATTTATCTTTCAGCGAGATCGGTGGTTTGAGAAAAACATTAGGCGGAAAGGTTTCGTAATCAAGAAAATGGAGGAAGATGGAGCTTGTTTGTTTCGTGCAGTAGCTGATCAAGTATATGGTGATCAAGAGATGCACAATGTGGTGCGAAACCATTGCATGGATTATATAGTGAGTACTCAAGTAGTCATTTTTCTCTTTGTATTCCTAATATTATTTCTGAATCTTACAATATTATTGTTCTTGTAGGCAGCAAATGGAGATTATTTTTCTCATTATGTAACAGAAGATTTCGACAGATATGTAAATAGAAAGCGTCGTGATTACGTACATGGTAATCATATTGAGATGCAAGCAATGAGTGAAATGTACAATAGGACGGTGGAGGTTTTTTGCTATGGAGTGGGTAAGTCTATTGTGGTTTCTTTCCTTCACAATTTTAAAAACATTCAAGAATATTTTGTAACCTATATTTATTTTCAGAGCCAATCAATATATTTCATGGTAAACATAAAACAGAGAATGAACCAATAAGACTTTCGTATCAACGTGGGCGACATTATAATAGTATTGTGGATCCCTTCAAAGCTACCATAGGTGTTGGTCTTGGTTTACCTAGTTATACTCCTGGTTTGGCAGACAAAAATTTGATGAAGGAGGCTGTGAGTCTGAGTGAAGATTTTCAAATTGAACAGGTACTTAATTGTCTTGAAAATATAATTTCTCTTTGTTGTATAATGCTGCTGTAGTGAAAAAAAATTATCTTGGGCACAGCGGCAAGTGTATTTATTAAATATCTATTGTGGATATTTACTCATGTGGTTACTTTCAGTATTACAGACTTATTAGAACTAAAGTAGAATAATCTCTCATATGAATACATGTATATTATAAAGTTTAGTATAATGTAGATACGAATAATAAAAACAATAAAGAAAATATACGTATCTGGAATGGTTGGGATTGTTGAAGAGTATCACATTTTTATAACGGAGCAATTGTTTTACATTTCCTTGTTCATGAACATTATTTTATGAGTGATGTAAATGAAGAGTCCAAGAATCTTGTACCATTAAGAATTGTATGTTTGCATTACATTTCAAAACTCTCTTGTTATTTAGCTACATTTCTTTGAATCTGTTATACATGCTCTTCTGGTGCTTGCGGTTTCTAGGCATAAAAATGAAAAAGAAGATATTATTATTATTATTATTATTATTATTATTATTATTATTATTATTATTATTATTATTATTATGCATGTATATATTATTAAAATTTTAGTAGTGTCTATCATTCCGTAAATTTTCCTAATGCCAAAATGATGCAGTTATGAAGTTTTTTGCCCAAGTTTTGGTTTCAAAGTTTGTTGTTGAGGAAACTAGAATTATGGAACTTGAGTAAAAATTAATTTAACAAAGATTTGTTAAAATTTTATTTCTATTATCTTGTGGTTTAAGTTCTGTGTGTTCTCTAATTCTGAAGATCTGTGTATTTGATTATTTGTAACTAAAAATCTAATTTATGTATTTTGCAGACAATGCTTGAAGACAAACTACGTGCGACTGATTGGGAAGCTACCAATGAAGCAATCGAAGAGCAAGTTGCTCGAGAAAGTTACTTACAGTGGCTCCGTGATAATGAGAAGAGGAATTCCAGTGTGGTGGGAGACTAAGTTTCTTCAAACTGGTCATTGATTGCTGTAGTTTTTAAGTTGTCTCTTTATGAAATTGCTCTTGTTATAGAGGTCCGCATCAGAAACAAGCAGTTCTGCAACAGTAACATCAGCAGAATTACGGTCTTCACCACGATCTCGAAGTGGACTTTCATCCCCTGCTAAAACAGAGTCACAACATGGATCACCCAAGTATAATGAAGCAGTAAATCATAAGGAAGATGCTTCTGAGTTGGCAAAAGATGCTGGAAAAAAGGGTTCAAATGATAATCCATGTCAACCTTTTAACCTTTTGGAGACTGCTTCCTTCATCAATAGGCTTTCTCCAGAAATGTTTGGTAAGTATAAGGCTCTAGAATTTCAAAACTCTCTTGTTATTTAGCTACATTTCTTTGAATCTGTTATACATGCTCTTCTGGTGCTTGCGATTTCTAGACATAAAAATAAAAAAGAACTTTCAGCAGATGTACCATTTGTTGAACAATCAGAGAAAAATAATAATAATGTTGGTACTTTTGTTTGTGATCTTTAAGAATGATTTTCAATTTGTGTTGCAGGCCTGACGGACTGGGAGGATGCTGGCATTCTTGCTCAGGTTCTGGCTACTTCGCAGCAAGAGTACATGGACAGATTAAAAAAAGTTCGAAATGAAGAAAAAGAAACTTGGGAAAATGAATTAGATCGGCCTTCTACATCAAGGTAACCCTCTGAGGGTTATGAATTGACCACAAAATTCCATTCTGTGGTTTGTGATTCAGCACAGATATGGTTTAATTGGCTGAAGATCTTAAAAAAACTGGGGAAAAACAACATCAACAAAAAAAGGCATAAGTTAAGAGTTCAGATTTTTTAATGGTGCTTAGTCCCTGTCCTTCAACCCTTTCCAGTGCAGGTACATACTAACAAAGGAGCAAAGAGAAAATGAAATTCTTCAAGCAAATATTTTTTGTTCTAACATGCTTTGATAAATGAGAAGTCAGTGTTTTTCATGGAGCATTTGTGTTTCAAAATGCAGAACTGAAACGTGTAATGACATAAAAAATTGATTTCATTTATTCTTTGCTGTATAGGTTATTTGTTTCTGTTTGCAGAAGCATTTGCTCCTGCTATATATTATTAGAAAATTTATTGGCAAAATCATGGGTGAAGTGGAAAACAGTCGTATATCTTATTGGCGATGATTGGTTTTCAAATTAAAATGCTTAAATTATGAAGTTAGATACACTAGGTATCACATTTGATGATGACTATAATAACAATAATAATAGTAATAATGATAATAATTATTAATAATAATGATAATAATGATTATAATTGTGTATTTTGAACACAGAAAATCAGCTTCCTTTCAATTTGCTTTTATTGTAGGTCATCAATGTTCAAACACTTTCTATCACATACGATTAGCAACACACAAAATAACACTTTTCTTAAATTCAAGCTTGATTGTGATATTCGGCAGTACTTAATAAAAATTAAGGCATCTGATCAGCATAATGAACAAGAAAATAATATTTTTAAATTAAATAAAAAGGCGTTTTGTCTGCGAAGCTTAATTGTTTGCTCTTTATTTGCGCAATCCTGTGAATAGCAAGACCTGAATTAGAAAAGACCATTGTTACATACATAAGTGTTGCTAAAATGTTGTGATGTTAAGTGTGTATGAATAGCTCTTAAGAAATAGCAAGATTTTTTGAAGAGGTGCAGAAATTGTTTCTGTAATATGGGAACAAATTGAAATTTTTGCAAAAGGACGAAGTGTAAAATATGTAATGATAGATAATAACTACATTCAGTTTTGTTACACACAAATGATATTATGCACCTATGTGTGTGGATAGTACATGAGCCTGACTGCTTGTAATAAAACAAGGCCTATGCATTTGTTGTTTAAATTAAAAATCAAATCTTGTTTTGTGGTACACATAGTTTACCAAATCAGACCCTAGATTCTTTTCTCCTTTCCTATTAATTGAAGGCACTTGCAGAGGACTATTTGTTTACAATGGCTTTCAAAACTTACTTCTTATGGCTGATAAAGGTAGGGCAGTTTGGAAGATAATTCAATAGTTACAGGGGCACATAATGCCTTAACTTGTGTGGCAACCTCGCTAATCATCAACAAGAATAGTTTCCAATGCACTGCATAGTTTTGTATATGAAGTTCCAAAGTTAGCAATTTGTCATTGTTGACACTAGTAGTCATTGAATTTGTATTAAGTGAAGCCATTGTATTTTTTAATTCTAGTGGACTAAATGTTCACGGTTTTCTGTGTATATTCTATACAGTATCACATTAAAACGTAATGTAATTTGCTACATAGAGTAGTAGACTTGTGCATATCATTTGTCCATTGATTAGGCTAGGGGAATTCAGGAGATTTTTTACACTGGCCTGGAGCTGTAGTGCTTGTAGATATTGTAGTAGCGATTGCTCTGCAAGTCATGATAAATGTAACCATCTGTGGAGTAGGAATTAACACAGCTCATGATTACATGTAGTTGACAAGGAGGATACAATATCAGAGCTTGTGCATCTCTTAGAGTTACTTTCTACTGGAGATGAACTACATGTGGCTGAATATTGCTATCTGTGTGGACTTGCATCAACATTGAAAATAACAGTTGGATTACATAATTTCTGGTTATACTGTGATTGACCTCCAATTTTGGAGATCTTCTGTGAACAATCCTAAAGCATAAATGTGCATTGCTTAAATTTATTGGTACTGCATATTTAGCTTTCATGTCCAGAAAGTGGGAGTAATAGCCACTATAAAATAAGTCACCTGAACATTGAATCAATAAAAAAAAAAGTGATTTACTGTATTTGTGTATGGTTATATAATTTTTTATATTAATAAATTGTTTGGGTTGAAAGATCAGGTACTGGGTATAATACAGTTCAATGTTTTCCAGTTCTTAACTAAATGTAAACCAATGGTTCTGCCTTGCCTATGCGAACATCTTTAATACTAATGTGCAACGAGAAACTTGCATTTATAAATATTTATTATGTGATTTTTGCAAAGAAGTCTTTTACATAAGGGCATTTAAATGTTCCAATATGGATAGTGTTAATTTGTAATGTACAAGTGGAAAATTGTATGTTGAGAATATGATGCTAAAATTTGTTGAGATCAATTGGAAGTATACATTTCATTTGAAAAAGAAAAGTGATCTTTAATATCTTATGCAAATGTTAGCATTTGTTAGAATATAAAAATTATAGTTTGTGTAATTCTTGGATCAGGTTTTTGTTTGAAGTTGGTGTAGATAAGTTACGTTATGCTAATTCTTGTACGTTGGTTACTTTTATTTGCTAATCCGACAATGAGGCCTGAACTGCCATTAATTTTTTCAATAGGTCACTGATTTTTCATGTATTATTTTTCTTCATTACGTGAATTTTAACTACTTTTCCTGGTTAAGTTCTATTAAGATCCAGATTAATTGATAAATTTTCATAATTGAAAGTAAAAGCAAATAATAATCGAGGTTTAAACAAAAAAGATCTTATAAGATAAAATTGCTTCTCATAATTTAAGGTGTCCAAGAAATAAATTCAGGCAAAGGAACTAATCTTGTAGACTAAACAGTGGCCTGTAGGTGATTTCTTGATTTTGAACAGAAGCGTGCATGTGTTAAATGCCTGTGTTTACAAACTGGAGGGAGGCGAATGGAACAGGACGTTTGCTGCTGTGCAGGTTTTTTCAGGGACTGTTATACTTCAGAGATATGGCTGTGCTAATAATTTACAAGGATTGGCATTGTAACTCCGATTCAAATATTACCTCTATTTTATCAGTATACAATGTTCCTTCAAATACTTTTTAGGAATTAAATGTGAAACGGTTATCTTGATCAATCTGAGAAAACTGGTGCTTATTCTAAAACATTTAACAGGATGTAATTGATGCACGAGACATGCTGTGAGAGTTCAGCTGCAGGGCAGGTCCTAACAAATGTAATTTCTGATAAGTAACGTGCATGAACTGGAACTGGAACAAGATGCAGTCCTACAGAAAGATCAGTGCAGCATTGTTTCTTAGGGATCAATGTATATTTTTATAAGATGCAATTGTTTTGAAGTATACTATGCCTGTGTTACTCTATAAGCATACACATTTTTACCAATAAATTTATTACGTTATGTGTAATGTAAATTTTTCTACATATAAATTTCATTTCAAGTGACACTAAATTATTGAAAGTGTAACCTCTGTTAACAAACCTTATTTGCTTGTTCAACACCTGAACATTTGTACATGATTAGTAATGCTAAAATAAATATTTGTTCACAATAACATGTTTGATGTTTATCCTGAAATTAATCTTTTGTGGGATGAAACCTCTATATTTATATCACAGTCAAACTTCATTTTCTCAACCAGAAATTATTTTAATTTTGCTTCAAGAATAATAAAGGTACGTATCTTGTTTGATTAAAGCTAGAGGTTAATTTATTTGAATGAAAAACCTAGTATTGTTTTTCTCCAATTTTGGAAAAAGCTAGCAAGTATGACCCTATAGTATTGTTCAATTGCCATTATTTTTGTTTTTTGTTGCATTTGCATATTTCTTTTAATATGTAATTCTTTTAAAATCAAAGAGATTTACATACAGAGGGTGTGTCGTAGTTTTCATAACTTTCTGGCATCTTTCAAGGAAATACAAATGGGCACGACTGTTATTCCCATTTTTGGCGTACATAATTTTTTTTTATCTTTCATTAATTCATACGCCATTTTGTTTTGTGGAAACCATTTGTTTGAAAGTAGCCGCAAAGTAATTAAAATTCTCGACACGTTACTTGTCGGATTTCTTGAAGTATCTCTTCAGTTACGCAAGTAGTTGCTTTAAATCAAAGAATTAAGGAACAAAACATTGGGTAAAGTTGATTATCTTATCAATATCTAAGTTACATTGTTAAAAGTCTGGAGGTTAATTATTTTTCGACTCAAATATTCTATATTTTAAGATACTTTCTGACGTCACTGCGAATGTGCATTCATTTTACGATATATCAAACTTTAGCGAAAGAAGTTGCGTGTTGAACGTAGACGCTGTGCTAATAAAATCCCTTCCATTGCACCGTTCGCACGGAGCGTAATTCTCGAAGTTCTCCTCACTGTCGAATCATGTTATTTTGGAAGACGAAGCTAAAATGAAAGTCAAAATACTCCTGAAGACTTAGAAATATATGGAAACAAATACATTTTCCCATAAGAATTGGTCTTGTACGTTAATACATCCACGAGAATTCTCATAGAAACTCAAGAGAGTCTCTTCTGATTTTCTGTAAAAATAGAAAAGATTGTTCTTTCGAAGAAGAAAAAAAAGAAAAATATGCAACAAAAACCTTATTCATTTTTATTCTGTATATGTATGACATCTGGCTCGTCAAATCATTTAAAATTGGTAACAGACGATTGAAATAAGGTCTGAAAAGATCTTTGCTAGCATGCAATGTTATTTTCTCAAGTTCATTAAGTAATTTTGCCAATGAACACGCCTTCTAATTCTCGCTATAACATATTTGTAGTTTCTTTCGCTGATTTAAAAATATTCTTCGTTAACGAATACTTCGCTGAGTTTGTGCTTGTTCTCAACTCGGGAAATCTCCCAAAAATGGAACACAGTGCCTGTTATTGATTTTTCCTCATCAAACCGTTAACCAATCACGGAGGAGTTCACTCTTTTTTAAAGGGTGAGGTTTCGATGCTCGTGTGGTTAGCCATATTTAAATGGACAGCCATTAGGTGGAATAGGTGTTATGTTCCTAAGGATAAAGTCGTATTGAAGTTGTTTTGTGTTGATACGTGAAATATAACAAGAATCTCGATGCAGGTGGCTACTCTTTTTAGGGAAACTGCTACGCTCCTTGGCGCTAGTATGGAAACCCAAGAAGCGAGTGGTGTTGACCCTCAAGCGTTTAAATTGTAAGTATTGTATTCGGTATATGTGATGTGAAAATGCTTTGTTTTGAACTTTTTCCGACAGTTCTGAATGTTGGCATAATTCTATCTTATTCAAAATGCCGCATGCAGAAGATCAGTCCGTTTGTGGTGCTCTTGTGGCTCATACAGTATTATGACATAGGTGCTGTTGTGTACAAGATTTTTGAAGATATTGTTAAACATGAATAAGTGAAAGTTTGTGTTTGTCCAGTTTTGTTCTCTTGGTTCAGTTCATTGTATGAAGTGGATTATAGTATTGAATGATTGAGATTTCAAAATTAGGTATATCAGAGGACAGAAGGAAACACAATTTGTGACATTCTCTCGCATGCAAAGAAAAGTGTGTTCACTGTGGGAACATGTTGAGCCGTGTGATGTTGTGATGTGTAGTGAGCATCTGTGATCAGGATTTGAAGCAAGTGAAGTTAATATAGTGTGATAATGATTGTGCAGTATCCCAGTCTTGGTGTTGTTCTGAAATACTTGAAGAAACTTTGTAATAGTGGCAGAATGACAAGGTGTTGTTGTTTGGGTTACATTGGTTAGTGTTTTGATGTTGTAATCAAATTTTATTGTTGTAGGGTTTTTGATAAAAATATTTGTTTTTGTTTATTCAATGGGAATAGTGAAAAGTTGTAAGCATATAAATGAAGATAGTTGTAATTATTTTATTCAGTGGTGAAAGATAGATTAGTAGACTTGGCTGAGTATATATTGTGATTGTGTAATTAAACAAATTAGTCCACACTCCACTCACTTTACACAGCATGTACATTGATTTTCCATGTATCTTGTTTAAAATTTATATGCACTTTTAAATTACATTGTAAAAATGAAAAGCAGCATCTTAGTTGCAGCAAATTAAAATTTGTTGCTCTGGAATCTGATTAACACTGTTGACTGAATAATTAAGAAAGTTGTAATTATGTAAAAATAGCTTGTTTATCTTTCTTCTTAGTGAATTAATTTATTTTAAACAAGTGTTAAACAAATTATTGCCAAGTTTATAATGTAGTTTTCTTTTGTCAGTAGGTTTGAAATTGAGAATAGCTCATTTGAGTATCATCATAATCAGTCTGTTTGGAAAAGGATGGGTACATAGGAATACATGTTTTGAGTCCTGTGTGCTATCCTAGTCACAAGAGTGGAACACTAAAACGCTAGTCCAGAAATTTTTGTTGGCCATAAGTACCTCTCAAAAGTTGTTTAAAACCATTCTATAAAACACACAATCCAGATCCACTATTTCTTTGCTTTGCACCTTGTATTGGTGGAAAATGGGTTCAGGTTTATTTCATAAACTATTAAAGTTTTGCTTTCTTTCTTTAGATGCTTATTGACCAGTGCTTTTGAACAAGAAACTTTGATTTGCAGTAGGTCTGCATTCCTGGATGGGGCAATGAAGTTGGAACCACATGATGATGGATATGAGACAAGTGGAGATCTGGAATTACGTACACAACGAGACAACCAGAAGTGTCTCAGCCATATCCAGAATGCTGGGGGCCATAACCTTAAGTGTGAACCACCAGAAGATCCCTACAGTTTTGTGGATGATGATCCCACACCCACACCTCAACCTCGTGCTCCACCTGTAATTATGCAACCTGTTCCGAAGAAACGTGGGCGCAAGAAAAAGAATATTCTTGAAGGAGGGTAAGGAGTTAGTGTTATCACTTATTTCGTGTTAAATTGTGTAATATGCTTATAAATTATTGATTACATTGGCTTTTATAGGTTGGAAAATACAGAAAATTTAATAAATGGTGACACACTGGTGAAAAAGAAGTTGAAAGAAGAGAAGTTCATGCCAATGTTCAAAGAACGGAAAAAACATGATCGCTTTAATGGCATGCCTGAAGAAGAGGTGTCCAAAAGAACTCTGCCTGACCATTTGGCATTGAATTTAGACATAGTAATTGTAAGTACAGAACATTGTTTGAAAAGTCGTGAATGTTTTAATACAGAAATGGGGAAATTGCTTGATTGTGGATGAAATGTAAATTTATGACAGTGCTTGTAAGAAATACGCTAATTGTGTGTATTTCAGTTCAGAATTTTTGTTGAATTCGTTTTTGTTTTTTTTAAATTGGGAACTTTGGAAATTGGGAAGTTTTTTTTGTTATTCTTTATTTTGTGAAGAAATGGAAAAAAGGAAGAAAAAAAATTGTAATGGATATTACCACATTGTGTAGTGAAAAAAAAATTATATTAAAAAAAACAAACTTATATAGCCTTTGGTGAATAGAGCAGATCATGTGGGCATGCCCAGTTTCGGTATTTCAAGAAATTGTACTTGTAAGCACTTGCGCGATCAACAACAACAACAACAACAACAAAAGAGCGTGTCTTGCTTGAGTAGAACAGAACTAGCTTCTTATATTTTACACAAGTCATACCCATTTTTATTGTTTTAGTTGATAGTAATAGATTTTTTGTTTTTTAGTGAGATGCACATTGCTTGTAGTGTGCCATTATAATTTCTCTGCCTTCTGTTGCAGTATAATAATAATTGTATTGCATTTTATTTATAGATGCGTAGCTTTTATGGACTACCTTGTTTTGCTTGCGTTCTTGTTGCAGAAACAAGTCATCATTTTTTAATTTTCACATTAGTTAGGGATGAAGTTCATTTCAGCTGCTGTTTACTCTTACGGGAAGAATAGTGTTGGCTGAAGAGTTGTACGTATTGCACCTTAGGGTATAAATTGTTTTTAGTAAAGGGCAGTGATGTGACAGTGAGTTGGTTGTGCTGAAAATATACTGGCTTCATTATGATTAGAAAATTATTTTCATGTTTTTCTTTAGAATCGTGTTCTATTTCTGGGCTATGAACTCATTTCAGTGCAAGTTCTATTAGAGAATATTTAAATATTTCTTCAATATTTGGCGTGGTTATTGATTTGTAGTAAGACCTGCATAATAGAATTACTATTTGCACTTTAATTAGAGATGCATATATTTATATAAACATCTATTCTATCCTGTCCTGATCCACTATCTTAAGACAGGTGTAGTAGACAATGGGCAGGAGAAAGGCACAACATTTGCAACATTTGCAGGGAGTATAAGGATTCTAGTTGTGGGTTAAGTTGTGATGACTTGTGTAAAATGTATTAGTTGACTTTTCCACCACATTCCCTTGTGGTGGCGGGTGTAGGAAAGTGTGCATGGCAATGTTTCTATGCTCATTTGTAGAGAGCACATTGTTAAGTTTCTCTGGAATTTCTGGAGAAAGGAAATGTGCTGGTTTGGATAAGAATTTACATTCTCTATTGGTCAAAAATATAGTAATAGCTAATTTTTTAACTCTCTCTATATTTGATCCTGTAATGGAATAAGAATAGCAATATGCTAGTAGTTCAGCTACATCTCTTTTCTGATATTAGAGACTTACTCATGGGTGTGTTGGAATGGTGTCACCTCACTGAACCACTGCTGGGCTGCATGACACCTGCCACCCATGAGCACTGCCACTGCCTGCGTGTGCCACCCTGCCCACCCTACGACCTGTGTGCTCAGAGTGTGAATGGCGTAGAGGTAATATTTGGGTAATTTGGACCCAGATGATGCTTTAGTGGCGTGATTTGCACACTGGCTTTTCATTTATGCTCCCTTTTTCAAATTTTCTATTCCTCCTTAATTTTTATCTGGAAATTTGTTATTCTTTTTAGAATATGCATTTATATGTACTTTATCAACTGTGTTAAATAATTTTAATTTCTTGTTCATTTTATTATTATAACTGTAGTTTTTGGTACCCACAATTTGTTGGAACCTGCAGGTTTGGAGGTGACATCTGTCAGATTTCTATGTAATGATAATGGATAGTGAGCGTGCAGTGGAAGACATTCAGCATCGTTAAAATGTCATGAATTCTTACTAAAAAAGGGATGGAAATTGCTTCTTGTAATTGTATACCAAAAAAATTTGTTAATTTTAGTAAGGAAGGGTTCAAAATAATTTTTATTATGGAGGAATAAATGAAAACCAGGCTTTGTCATTGAATTATAAAGTGGTCCAGTTTTACACAAATATTATCATTTTGTGCTGTTTTATTGAGGTACAGGGAGATAGCTTACTCTTATTAGACTTGTGTAAACTGTCAAACCTAAGTTTTCTTGTCTTGCTGGAAGGGCAGTGTGACGTGTGCTATGCAATGTGATATCTGGCGCGGTGTCTGATGTGCTTGAAGACTCGAGGCAAGTGATGCCCCAGGGCGGGTGCATGTGCTGGGCTCAGGCATTGGTGAGCGCATGCTGCCTGTGTTGCCACATGTAAATAGTCCTTGAGCCCCTCCTTGTTGGATAGCACATGAACCCGACAGTGGGTCTAAGCAGTGGTGCCACTTGCTTGATTTGTGGGGGTAGTTGAAACTTCAATTTCTCTTATGAACCACTGAGAATCCTCCAGTCTTCTTTCATACAGTGCTGTGAAGCCATTGCATTCAGTGTCACATGTGCTTAAAGATTTGAAGTGTAGCGTACCGCAGATGCAAGAGTGTATAACCACATTGAACTGCACCTTTTCCCTTGATACAGATCGGCATCAACCCCGGCCTGTTCGCTGCCTATAAAGGCCACCACTATGCAGGACCAGGGAACCACTTCTGTAAGAAATTTCTTTCCTATTCTTTCTTGTTCTCACTTTTTCTTACATTGGTGCCCTAATAATGTGTTGTACATGAACCATGTGAAATAAGTACTTTTAGATGTTGTACTTTATTACATTTTAGAATATTTGATGTAGTAAATTTTCTTCTGTCACTTTTTACCTTTTGTCATGTTTCAATTTATGTACATGAATGTATATTATGTTGCCTTCCTGTGGATGGGTAACACTGGGTATACTTGCATAGACATGCCCTTTAAAGTGCTATCAGAGCTTTTCGATTTGGACCCTTGGTCTCGTATCATGGGTTGCCTCTGTGCGGTGGTGTGGGTCTTGGCCCTTTCTATTTTCTATAAGCCCTGGTGTATGTGTCACTGGCATCAACATAGCTTGTGTGCTCAGTGTTGCATCTCCCATGTGCCTCTGGGCTGTCTTGAGCTGGTGGCAATCTTGTATTGTGAATGTGTGAGTGTGTGTGGGAGAGAGTTGTATGCTGGCATGTGTAAAGTACTTCTGTTAAGCTTTCATTTAGTAGTTTGGCTTGTAAAGCACTGTAATGAAGGGTATACTTTTCATTGGAATTGAAGGGTTATATTTGATATTTGAGTAAAGAGTTCACAATCCTTGCTTTCCGTTTGTAGAAAACTCCATTCCTTTGCTCACTAATTTTTAATGTTAAATCATCTTATAAGAATAATTAGTATTTGCATGAGTAAATTTTATTTTTTGAAATAGATAGTGCCAAACACAAAATGGAAATTGTGTAGTGAAAACCACAACTGCTCTTATAATCTTTCCAAATGGATGCACTATATCACAATTTGAGACAGTACTTGGAGTGCACACTATGCCAGCCTTCACATCTTTACTTGTTTTCAATATTCTAACATGGGAGAGTAACATTCTGCAGCAATATGGTATAACTTTCAGCTTCATCTTGTGATCTTGTTGCCACTTCCCTTGAAATACAAAGTCTCGGATGGCTGTTCCTGACCGTACAGTATGGTTCTTTTGTGGGTGTGTGAGTGATAGTTTTGTCAGAAGCAGAGTGCAAACAGACTGGTTTCACATCTTTTTATAACAGACCAAGAGAGTGAGTCTTCTCATGGTCAGAGAAAGCTTGGGAATAATATTGTATAACTTATTGCTCATGTCTTATTTTGTGTGGGTGCATAAAATGAATGTATAAATTTTGCTTTGTTTATGAATCTATTTAGCTGCATGGCTTTCATTTGAATGCTGTCTGCTATTGTTAACTAATTGGAATGCCTGACTACTAAGACTTATTTTTTGGAAACCTTTGATGGAATTAATACAATATATTGATAAGTGAAATTATACTGATATCAAAATACTTCTTTGATTGTCATCACTGAGGACAGGCTATTGCTGCATTCATGTCACTTTCCATAATGCAAGTTGTTCAGTTCTATAAGATGTGTGGTAAAAGCCAGTACTATTTGTTCTTGAAAAATGAAAGAGAAAGACAGTGTATGGATTATGACTTCAAAGATTTGTGAATATGTGGTATTTGCCAGATGGGGACAAAATAAGAAATGGAAAATTGTAGGTGCCTTTTTAAAATTCTTAAGATGGTGGCTTTGTTCCTTTTAGTTAATTAGCTTTAACATCTACTTCATTCTGAGATTTGAATGAAAGGACCATTTAAAATAGGCATCATAGTTGTAACTGGAACAATTTCATAGACTAAAAGTTCGGAACTTGAAACTTTAAATGAAGTTATCTGATGTTCACCTGCAAAACCAAAATATTGCAAAATTATGGTAAATTTGTTGAAATTGGACATTCAGTTGCAGCTACTATTAGCCAGCTACATAGTTACTACTAAAAACTGTTGCATCTAAATTTGTAACAAAATCAATGCATCATTTGATTATTGAGTGTTGCCTTTTTCTCAATCCATTTAATTTCATACTGGCTGTGCAGTTGCATGTGTAGATAAAATTGGTAATATGTATTGTGAATTAGTTTCATTTGGTTATTGCAAAATCCTAAGATGTGTAACTTAATATAATTCTGTTTTGCTATATGTAATGTTTGAAAACCTTAAGCAGAACCTTGTTAATTTGAAAACCTTGAGCAGAACCTTGTGAATTTGAAAACCTTAAGCAGAAGTTTATAGTTTACTTCTTGGTGACAACTTAAGTTTTTGATTCCAAGATCTAAGTTAGAAAGTAATTACACTTTTTCTCTCTCTAAAACTATAACAGTTTATTTAAACACTATTAAGCATTGTATCCGGAATAATATTGAATATGGTCATCAGAAAGATGACAAATGTTTTCATCGGAGAGGTTTGTTGTATGCTCTGGTTACTCAAAAGTGACAAAAACAATTGCAGTTCTTTTTTAAAGAAGACTAAAGATATTTCATAAAGTACATTTTATCTACCAGAATACATGGTTTAATGAAAGTTTTAAACTGTTTTCTTGTATTGTTCTTACTGTTGACAAATATTTTTATCGATTATTGTACACTGCCTGTGAAATATGACTTCCAGCATATTTGAGAACAAAGTTTAGAACAAAATACAGGTGTTTTTCACATATCTACATAACAGCTTTTGGGGTTGCCAGTTGCTAGTTTCTTGAAATGTGAATGGAAAATATATGTAAATTTTAGTGGGGTTGTTTCTTGTATTTAGTGCAATAGTTCCAAAATCTATTGTAGGTGTTTAGATCAAACACTCGATATTAGAGTAACAAAAAACAAACCAACATGTTAGTTGAAACATCATGTTAGTTGAAACATCTGCATTGTGTTTTACGTATGTGAATAGTTTAAAAGAATTTTAAGGAAAATTTTAGTTTATTGGTGTGAGAGATGCAGTATTTAATACTGGAAACCTCGAGAGAATGGGCATTTTAAGCACCATGTTCTGTTGAAAATTATTCATATGTACAGGTTGAGGATTTATAAATGTGATTGTTGGCCACATGCAGCAAATACGGTCTAGTTTTCTTATGAAGTGGGCCTTACAAGATGTTAGGAAATTAACAAATTAGTATGTTGAAACAAGCAGGCTGGTGAGTGTTTTAAAGGAGATAGCTGAGATCCTCATAGCAGAGTAATGATACTTTTTATGTAATCATTACAAATAATACTAGAAAGAATGTCCATATTATAGCACTATTCTTTTTCCATTCCTTGCCAACATAGCTAAAGATCTATCTGCAACAGCCAATAACCCTCAAATCTGAAAAAGTTGGTGTGTACAAATGAGAACGACTATAAACATTTTATTTGGAACATTAGTGTTTGAAATCATCAGTATCTGTCATTGTCTTCAAGATTAATTAAAGTGTTAAAGCATAAAAATGATGAACACTATAATTATAAAGTTTCAAGAGTAGATCACAATTACAATTCCTATATTCGTGGAATGTGTAAATGTGAGGCTAGGAAAGACTATGACTTATATGTCAATATGGTTGAAGAATTAGTTGGGGAGTTAATATCAAATCTTTCTGGAAGTACTTCAAATCCGAAGGTGTGTGAATGGTAAAATGGTCGTTAAGGGCAATCACATAGTGGAGTTCTTTGCAAATTATTTTCAATCAGTATATGTGTCTGTGACAAAGCTCATGATGCTGATGTTTATAATTATACAAATTCAATTGTAAATGTTGCTAATGTTTCTATCTCTGAGGCTGAAGTATTCACAGCAATTGCGAAGTTAGACTGCAACAAAGGCCCTGGACCTGATGGGATTCCATCTGTGTTTTTGAAGGATTTAAATGCCAATATAACACCTATGTTACTTCTACTGTTTAACAAATCTCTTTTTGAAGGATTTTTTCCAGCTGACTGGAAAAAGTTTCACAACTCCCTTACACAAATCAGGTGCATTACCAATGTTGAAAATTACAGACCACTCAATAATACGTACCATACTTAAATTGCTGAAA